CCTTAATATAAATATTAAGAATTAAAAATTTGTTAGAAATATTTTTGTAACAGAGAAGCGATTACAACACATGGAAGGCAAAATTTTAAAAACAGCCTAATATATACAGGGTGCACCAAGTATCCTTCTATATAGGTATGGGTATCTTTTTTAATTGAAGAGCTCAAATTTCGGTTAAATTAGACAAAGGTTGCGTAATTGCAAGGCTATTAAAATGACATTTAAAAATTCCAAAAAAATATGCAGTTTCTAAATAAATTTGAATTTGAAATTTGAACAAAAACTGAAAACCTGTCAAAATCTTTATAGCTTTGTTATTCCTAGGATTTAAAAAAAGTAGGTTTTACATAGAAACGGTTAAAATATCACTAGAACTTTCAATGATTTTTATGTTTGCAAACGATCAAATTTTCAAAAAAATAAATGAAACATCATTGTGTTAACCTTTTTTTCTTATTCAACAATAGTTCATAAATTAATTTTGGCCCAATATACGTAAATTAAGACGGATCAATAACGCTGTAGGGAGGTGAAAATATCACAGCTCGGACACGTAAACTTAATTTTTGGTCGTGCTTTAGCTGTATCAGGTTAAAATTCAAAGATATTAAATGTTTAAGTTTTGGAGCATCCCATTATACACCCTGTATAAATTTTAAAAATCAATTGGGTTGCACCCCACATTAAAAAAAAAAAACAATTTCTTGCAAAATTTAAAATTTTTTAATAATTTAGGAAATTCAAAGATTTTTTTTGATGATTTTTATTTGAGTATAATTACGGGTATTATATTTTATTATATAATAATAAACTAAATAAAAAGCATAGGAATGTTGGCACAAGAGTGACAGGTGACATATTTTATTTTACAAATTATAATATACCAATATAAAGTGTGTCTCCGAATCGGATTGCCAATAGGAAATACTTTTTAGACCTGATACAGCTAAACCGAGCGCGAATTTGTAATTTACGACCAAAAATTATGTTTACATGTTCGAGAGTTTAGCTGTAAAATTTAAAAAGTTAAAAATTTTACCTACATTGTAACAATTAACAATATTTTCAATAAAATTTTGACGTGAAAGTGCTCAGATAGGAAAATTTAGAGGCCCGAGCTCTTTTACTCTTCATTATTGATGCAGTGGAGCCCGTATACGTATTTAAAAACTCGCAATTTCCACCTTTGACTTTCAAATTTTTTCTAGGTTTTTCCAGAATACCACCAATGTGCGTCGTATAATCTTAAGTGTAAGCGGCGAGCGCCGCGAGAGAAATACAGGGCCGGCTCTTCCCTCAGTTGACTTTTTTGACTGGTTATCGACCGCAATGCGTTTATGTGATTTTATTTATATTATTATCTATTTTGCAAACTTTAAAAAAAAGTAATAACGTTTTTTTAATACCTACGTATTATTCTTAATAAATTAATAACTAAAAAAATATTGGAAACAAGCTGTTGAAAATAATGTTTTGTGTATTAATATTAGCAATATTATAATTATCTCAGTGCCAAAGCACTGTCTAGCTCGCTTCGCTCTTGAAATTATTTGGCCCCTTTTCGATTTTCAGAAATTTGGCAACCCTTTAAGTCACCACCATACTAAGTGATCTTTTAAATACACATTGACAAGCTGTGACTTTTAGTCACGGGCTGAAGTTAGCTTTAAGTTAGTTGACAGTTGGCAAATGTCATACAATCGTCAAAATTAAGTGCCCTCCTTGTGAAATAATACTAAATGTGGTAATTATTTTATCACGCACTCTTAGAAAAGACCTGGTATTTGCAATGAAAATTTAGTTCCCAGAACCAATTTTATTAGTGAAAATAGGCACAACAAAAAAATATGTTGTGGGAACTAATACAAATTTGTTTTTACAGTTTGTTGTCGGAACAGCCAATATTGGTAGCTCCAACCAACAAGTTTAAGTGCATCGAAATTAGTTTTTTTTTTCATACAAATAATTGATATTTAATGCAATCACATTAGTCTGTCATTTTAGCAGTGTCTAAGTTGTAACAACTGCACTTGCTATTTATCGCAACAAACATTGTATCATGCAGGAATTTATTTTTTAATTGAAATTACATGAAAAAAGGTACATTTAAAGAATTTAATAGTTGATATAATATAAATTTGTTTTGTACTGTAACTAAGTTATATTTAATATTAAATGCTTGCATTAGTATAGCAACAACAAATTGTACATACCTGCTTAGTAAATATAACACTTTTTGTGTAAATATTATAAAAAATAGAGAAAGGAAATTCATGCCCGTTCGTTTTATAAATATTTATTATAAATTAAAAAATAACAATATAACTGAAAACACCAAATTTTGGTTTAAACATTATAACAAAAATTAATAATTACTCTAAGAAAACATTTATAAAAATTTTAACAATAAAATAAAAACGATTCTTTGGTAAATATACACATATAGGTACATTAAGATGAAATTTGACTATACTTCTTCAGTAAACCGTGATGTTTACGTGAAGTGCAAGCCTTTGTTTAACAACTTAACAATGATTCTTAGGTACAACTGAGGGAAAATATTTATTTTTGTTCCTGGCCACTTTTTTCAATGTAAATAAACCGGTCCATCTTGTTTGTAGGTCTGTGGGTACAACGTAACATACTTGCAACATAACAGGGGTAAGAATTCGATAAATTTTGAGTGTGAGTGCCTATAGTATAGGCCCTATACCAAAAATGCGACTTGAGCTGTAACAAAACAAAAAAATTCTCGAAATTCTGACGTGATGGAGACTTTTGGTGGACACCATTGGATTCAGGAGGCCATTTTCAGTCGGAATGGCATTTTCACATTTTTGGATTTTTTTTCGGACCCCAAAACTACAATAGTGAAATTAAAGGAGTGCAATAATAATACCTAACCTTTAAAAACTGAAACCAATTCAGGTAAACCCCATGTTCCTAATAAATCTGCTACTTCAGTCCGCTCATCCATATTATTTGTTCGAGATATCTATAAGTAACCAACACATAAGAATATATTCTTATATACATGAATAGTTAAAAAGTATGTCGCCACTGAATTTACAGGGGCAAATGACTAATTGTAATAAACTAGTTTCTTACCTAAAATATACACTACACACGAGCTGATACGCAAATACAAAAGAACAAACACCACCGAAGTCTGGACGCCGTGCAACACCGTTTGTTTACAGGTTAAAAGTAAAGCACGCGCCGGGCTGGACAAATCGCGCGCGAAATGCACAGTTTGCAGTTGCATTAACCTACAGAGACAACATCCCCAACTGACACTTTGTTTCACACCGCTGGTGTCTTAGCTGAGTGAAAAGTGACGCATAGTTTATACAACCGAACCGTTAGTTCCACGGACTAATTTCAGTCAGTTGAGAATGTTATTTAAATATTTGGTCCAACAAAAACATTTTACTGCCGAAATGATTTTTTTTAGATAATGTTGTCAATACTTCTAGCCAACACAAAGTTTCAGTTAAAATAACTTAATCGCCTTTTTGCAGTAAATAATACTCAACAACAAAACTAAATCTTTTCAGGTAATGATGCAAGCAGTTACACATATAAAGGTACTGATTACAAAAAACCAAAAATTTTATTTTCTGCAACAGTTTTACCCCAACGATAATAAGTTAGTTACAAATACCAGGTCTTTTCTAAGAGTGCGCCAATACGAAAAAACAAAATTAATTAATAGTTTCTTGACGCCAATTTTTTAAAAGTTTTTGTGCAGGTTTGCGATTTCGCCGACGTAAACTAGTATTTGTCGATAAAGCATTAAAAATTTTGGGTGGAGTACCTATAAAACATCCTCTTCACTTTTCTGTGAAAAACTGCGTCTATATCGGATTTAAACGGTGGCTAGTCCATTTTCAAGGGGAAAATTTTACAGATTTTTTTTTAACCCAGCACTGCCATTTTAAAAGCCGGTAAAACAGATTCCTAACCATGCATTTTATTGGAAGTTAAATTTTCTCTTAAAATCTTGTTTACTTTTTACCTCTTCCTTTAACCGTTTTGAAAAGGCAAAACATACTGTTTTTTTATTAAAAATATGACTTTTGTAACGTATACTACAGTTCAAAAATTAAAATGAAAAAAATATATTTAATTTCCTTTTATTTCAATAGGAATTTTTTTAAATTAAAATAAAAGTATTTAGGAGTAAGATCAAGGGATAAAACTTTAAGGGCATTTTTTTCTCGATATGTCCATAATATTTTTCGTAAAAAAGTATAGTATGCAACTCGTTCTTAAACTCTTTTATTAAACACTCGCTCGCAAGCTTCGCCCGTGTCTAGTTCAAATTCGCGACCTAAATGGCGTTTATCAAACTTGCCAGATAATATAATATTTACAAAATATCAACTTTACGCACAATCAATCAATTGATTTTAAATTTGTTTAAAAATCTAAAAATTTAAATCAATTTTAATTGACAATTAATTTTTTAATATGAAAATGAAACTTAATCCCGGCGCATTCGCCATTTTTTGCAAAAAAACATTAAACAAAAATATCAAAAACCAAAATAATTTTCTGTATTTTATATTTATATACTAAGTACACTAAGAAAACACAAAACAATTACTTTGGCCTTCGTTTCAAAAGACTATTTGTTTATAGATTATGCAAATTAAAAAAACTATCTGCTTAAAAAATAAACAAACAGTTTTATGAAACTGGAACAACAAAATTTATGCTAATGAATCGATTTTAAGTAACTGTAAATTTGTTAAATTTACAACTAGCTCACAAATAATTTATTACTCTCTAAAAACAAAGCTTGTGAAATTTAAAAAATGCCAGTAAAGTCACGAAAACGGAAAACCAATAAAATAATAACAATGATGCCAAAAAATTCACAACAAAAATCGAGCGCCTCTACCGGCATTTCACGCGTACCACGGGACGCTTGCCGTCGTCATGACGACGCGAGTTAATATATAGGCGGGCGCCGCGACGCTTCTATATCATTCGACGCTCACAAGTAAGGGTAAAAGCTAACAAGTGCTCCCTGAGTTTACATATTTACAGTGACATATCGTATATAGTAACTTTATAAAGTTTTCGTGAATAATTGTTGAAAAAAAAATTTAAAGTGATTGGGTTTTTGTATAGTGCTTTAAAGGATTTAGAGATTAGAGGATCTAAGGTAAAAAAAATTATAGATTATTTTGCAATAATTATAAAATTTGTTATTTACCAACCTTAATTTTTGCATATAAAAAAGGTTTTTTCGTAAAATTTAATTAAAACTTAATTTAGGCTTTTTATTTTATTAACCTTTGACTTATCCAAAGATCATAAGGATAATTAACATGCGTATAAAACGTTGTATTTTCAAAGTAATAACAAATCGTGTGGTGTGCCTACGCTTTTATAAAAGGTCAAACTATTTAAACAATTTTATATAAAAAAATCAAATTACAGTAAAAAATTTTATTATCTTTTATCAAAGCGATATGAAATGAAAAGTCATGAACTCGATAACAACCAAAAAAACTTCATCCAAACCAATAAAAAAGCGGCATTTGCGCCCACAGCCTTTTTGGCGCTTTAAGCCGTCTGAAACCCTGAAATAGATTCAGGAATTCAGTCGACTCTTAGAGAAACATTCGAATAAGAAAAAAACGCTGAAAAGTCACAAACGCGTAACTTTGGATGCCAGAGATAATAAAAATAAATCTCGGGGAAAGTATTAATAAAATGAAATGCGGAAGCTCTGCTAATTGATTTTTATGAAGTTGTGTTTAAGATGTGAAACATAATTGATGGTGTTTTAAATATGCAGCAAAAATGCGAGAAATTTTGTTTGGATAAAAGTTGGCGACACAATGTCGGAAAGTTTTATTTTTATAGAAAAAATTATAAATATACATATTTGATTGCCTTCATAAGCCTGATATATTAATAACACATTTTTATGTGCTATACAAGATTTTTTCGTTCTGGCATTTATAAACCCGATGGATAATTAAAAAGGTTATATAAAAAATTAAACATGTAATTTATTGGGCGCCAGCATGAATATTATTTATTGTTCTTTATTTGCCAAGAAACACCCAAAACGTATTTATCATTTCTACAACGCTAATAATGTTAATTTGTTACAGAAAATGAAAACAGAAGAAAAAAATAACATGCCTAAAGTCCGCGTAGCAGTCATAGGGAAGTCCAACGTAGGCAAATCAGGTATGTAACAGGGCCAAAACATTAACCTAACAGATGTCAGAAGTAGAAAATTTATTATCACTTAATAGCGATTTTAATTGTTTTTACTGAAATTTCGGTAATATTTCTGTTGGTAGCACTGTAAAGATTTTAACACGACATAAATTATCAGCGTCCTTGATTTCCAGTCAAACAATAGAGAGAAAACAATAATACAATAATGGTATTGAACTTATATTTATAAACCGCGAAGAAAAGTGAATAATTTTCTATTTTTGTTTCACTATTTATTTTGACTGCTCTAAAAGGCAATCCAAAACAATTTACATCTTAATTAATAATATGTTTTGTTTTCAGCTTTGACGGTTAGATATCTAACAAGAAGATATATAGGAGAATATAGAAGTAATATAGGTAAGTTATCTTTAGTTTTTGTTTTAGTTTTAGTATGCCCCAAAGGTAAAAATCCTTAATTATTAAATCCGGACTTCTTGGTGGACCAAATCTACCAATCCACTTTCCCCAAATGTCTTTGTCCAATATTTTCTTCTCTTTATGTCGGTTTGAAAACTTTTTGGCAATACTTTTAACGGAAACTTTTGTTTACACTGCCTAACCCTTTGTAGCTAATTTGCCCCAATCATAGCATTGTACCATTGATTAAAAGTCAATTCGGGGACACACTGTATATATAATCTTTTATTTATGCATAATTTATGTAATCATAACAAATATTTACCTACGAAAATCGTTGAATGGTGATCTCACCAAATTGTTTTGGATTCATTCAATTCTTTTTAAAAATAAATCGCAGAGAAGCCTATTACGTACTATGTGCGTCATTCGTGGAAGATTAAAGAATTGTTTACTATTGGCAATGTCATGGTTGAGCTTTTCATTAACAATCGGAATTTTTTTAATGTAGTATACTGTCTTAAAATGAATTAGTCAAAAATAACTAATTATAAGTCATATATGACTAATTGTCATAGCGAAAAAGCAGTCACTAATAATTAGACATATTCTACTAAATGAAATAGTTAAATTAGTAGATTTAAATTTAAAAAAAGAGTTGACCCAGCCGGGGATTGAACTCGGGTCTGTCACTTGTCAAGCTTGACAAGCTGTTGTTATAACCCATTCGGCTATCAATCTATCAATAATCTTAAATTAGTCAAACTATTTAAAAGTGAAAACGACTATTTTATTAGTAAAAAATGCTGGTACTAATTCAAATAGTAGAATTTTGACTATTTCATTTTTAGAGAGTACAACTTTCACGCCCGTCAACTTAAACTTTAACCATGCATGGTTATCTGAAATGTTCAAAGTTGCATTTAGAACCTTGTTGTCGCTGACTCAGCCCGCAATACTAACTATATTAGACAACGCAAAATACAGGAAGATTAAAATAAACATAGTTTTTCGCCCTTGACTGCTTATTTATTTAATTTACATCTGCTTGGCGTATTTCGCGCAGCAAATCAGGAAGCTCTATGGCGCGACTTTTTCCCAACGTTTCTGTGATGCAACAGCGACGTTGTCGTGTGTCTGCATAGCTGGGTTTTAAAATAGAGCAACTTTCAGACTACGCCGATTGAAATATGCTGCCACATAGCTGTATTTATAAACGGTATACGGCTTGATAAAGGTTTTATTTCATTCTTCTGGCGTCTTCGAGTAAATTTATTAAGAGATCAGGACTTTATTGTGTTGGTTTTTGGCTAATAAAAGTGATTTATGATAGAGGGGCTAATCTAAGTCAAACCACGTCAAGTGTGCAATGAATTTTTATTGATTTTTAGAAAACTAACGATAATTATAAAAATATTTCTATCATTTTTTGAAATTTCACACCGTTTTTATAATTTTTAGTACATTTTACAATAATTAAAAGAAAAATTGATAACTCACTACTCGTTCGCAATAATTAAATGTAATTTTTTTTTGACAGTTGTAAAATGTTTTCTCTTTACGATGCCAATTTTTTTTCTTTTTGCAACAAAAAAATAATAATGCAGAGTATATTTTATAAAATTTTTAGGTACAAATAATTGAAATTTTTTTTTAAATGTAAAATTCTTACTAAAAATAACTAAAAAGATGCGGAATTTCAAAAAATGATTTAGTGTTTTTTTGTTTAGTTATTATCTGCGGATTTTTACAATTATCGGTAGGTACTTTCCAAAAAAATCAATAAAAACATTGACACATTAGAAGTGGTTTGACTCATTTGCGATTTTGCTAAAATTAGGATGTCAAATTTTACAATTTTTTTTAATTGCCCATAACTGTAGACCATATTTTATACAATTTTTACTTTATTTACTTATTTAAATAGAGAATTTTTTTTTAATGTTGTAAATTTCTTAGGTACTAAAAATAACTAAAAAGCTGCGGAATTTCAAAAAATGATTTAAATTGTTTTTTTGTTTAGTTATTATCTACGGATTCTTACAATTATCGGTACTTTCCAAAAAATCAATATAAACATTGACACATTATAAGTGGTTTGACTCATTTGCGATTTTGCTAAAATTAGGATGTCGAATTTTAAATTCTTTTTAATTGCCCATAACTTTGTGAAAAATTGATCGATTTGGTCATTTTTACTTCAAAATATTCGTTTTGCTTGTGTTTTTATGATGTTTCATATTATTTTCGTCCCATCTTTAAGAATCTCAAAAAAAATTCAAAAAAACTTGACTTAATTTAAAAGTTGAAAAGTACAATAAAACACCAAAAATTTGAATAAAAATAACCAAATCTATCAATTTTGTAAAAAGTTATAGACAATTGAAAAAAAAATTGAAAGTTTGACATCACAAAAAGAATCGACTACATACAAAACATATCCCAATAATTTGGCATATTTTTAACTCTATTTTTAAATTTTAAAAAATATAAAATAAGCATAGAGCCAAAAACATATAACTTAAACCGTAGCAAATATTTGAAACACATAAAACATACTTAACTAAAACTTTATCGATTTAAAAACTATTTATGTTGAACCTTCATTAAAACATAAATTATACAACAAAATAATAGTTTCTGCACCTTGACCCGCTGCAAAACTAATTATATCTTTAAAAAACTCGGTTTTTGCGATTAATAACTGTTTTACCACTTGAAATCTGTCAATTAAACAAACTAGTTCAACCCATTTAAATGACCTGATTTTGTAGAGTTTGTTTTCATTTACCTGTCTATTCTAAATAGTGTCTATATTTGTTCTAATTATAGCCAGGAATTTATATACCTACATAATAATAATAATTTTCATTATTAAGGCTCCAATAATAATTAATCTTAATTATGTCTCTCTACCATGAAACTCAAGGTTCAAGAACCCTTATTTAATTAGGGATAATCATTTTATTGATTTTTAAGGTATTTTTAGTTGGTTAAATATTTTGGATGTACGTCAATTAAAAGATGCCAAAATTTTGCACACGGCTTTAAATAGGTAAATATATATGTAAATATTAATTTTGTATACAGTGTGCACTCGAATTTTATAAAAAGCTTATTTGTTTTCGATATTTTCGCAGAAGATTTTGGCAAACATCAAAAAAGAAACTTACGCAAGTCATACTTATAATAAGCATATAGAAACATTTTTAATTTTTACACAAGCGACATTCGCTTTAAATGTCATTATTATTCCATAAAAAAGACAAGAAATAATTTCTCATTTTACCAAACGTTAAAAATACTAAATAATGAAAATTTAAGACTTCGTGTCAAACTCTGTAGAAGTTCAACGTCCCCAGTAAATAACTCAAATCTTAGGTCTCAATAAAATTCCAAAAAGTTTTCCGTAAAACTATCGTAAATTTCAATTACAAAGAATCATTCCCCATTTTGCACATAGATCCAAATATTTCAGATTTATTTTCAGAAACATTTTAATATTTACCTTAGGTATACCTACATACTCTATTTTAAGCATTAAGCATAAAATATAAGCATATTTTTTATAATTTTTTCGTTGTTGCAGATTTGCTGTATCGTCAGACCCTGACAGTAAACAACGCATCTTTGGACGTGGAAATCGTAGATGTGTGCAGCTGCGACATGCAGATGTTTCCCGAGGAGGCCATTCATTGGGCCGATGCCTGCGTGATCGTGTACGACATAACCTGCAGGACCTCGTTTAATCAGGCCAGCGACATGTTGCAACGCGTGTTGCAACTCAGAACGCAGATTCCGACGGTGTTGTTAGGGAACAAGGCAGATCTCGAGCATCTCAGACAGGTAAATGTCAATATTTTGTGATTGATTTAATTTTGATTTGGCTGGCATTACAATGTTTTTAGACAAATTTTGGTTAAAAGTTATATAATGACACTAAACTGAAAAATCCCACAGAAGAAATTATTTTTGTGAAAATCAAAACAAATTTAGGTTATAAAAAATTAAAATGGCGAATACTAAAATTATAAAAAAAAATTAATTAATACCTAAATATTAAAAAATATAAAAATACATGGAAAACAGAAAAATTGTACAAAATAAAAATGTACCTACATGAAAATTGGAAAATTAAAATACTAAAGTTATTTAAAAATAAATAATAATATATTATTATAATTACAATGCAAATAATTTATGTGGTAAACGATAAAATGTTTTAAAAGATATTAAATACAGTAGGATTTGATTTAAAATTTTGGAAATTCAAAATTTTTTTTTTAATTTTTGCAATTTTTGAAAATTTAAAAAGGTTAAACTTTATGAAAATTTTGAAAAATCTGTTAATTTAAAAAATTTTAACAAAAATTTATAAAATTTTTGCTACTGTGCGAAGTTGTCAATCTATTTTTAAAATTTATGCCAATGTGCGAGTTTTTACTTATTGCAACCACAATCCACACATGGAAATTGCAACTACATATGTATATTAAATTTAATATATGTAGATGTAAGAAAACCGGATAAATAAACGTAATTAATAATTATTAAAAAATATAAAAATACATGGGAAAAATTACATAAAATATAGAAAACAGAAAAATTGTAAAAAATGTACCTACATTAAAATTTGAAAATTAAAATATTAAAGTTATTAAAAAAAAATAATTACAATAATTAACGTGGGAAAACGGTAAAATGTTTTAAAAAAGATATTAAATTATTAAATACAGTTAATTAGGATTTAAATTAAAATTTTAAAAATTCAAGAAAATTTAAAAATTTTACAATTTTTGAAATTTTTGAAAATTTAAAAATGTTATAAATTATAAAAATTCTGAAAAATCTGCAAATTTTAAAAATTTGTCTCAACATTTTTAAAATGTTTACTACTTTCCGAAACTTTATTCCAATATGCGAGTTTTTCTTTATTGCAACCACAATCCACACATTGTGATTGCAACTACATACATAGGTATACATATATTATTATTATATACATATATTAAGTTTAATACCTATATGTAGATGTAAAAAAACAGGAAAATTGTAAAAAATTAAAAAATTAAAATGCTAAAATTAATAAAAACAAAGCAAATAATTTATGTAAATAGGAAAAACAGTAAAATATTAAATATAATTAATAAAGGTTTGTAAAATCTGAAAATTTTGAAAATTTGTCCCACCATTTTTTTAATTTATAGTACTGTGTGAGTTTGTCCTACAATTTTTTTTAAGTTTATGAATGTATGGGCAGCTTTCATTTATCCAATTTTATTCGACTTTGGGCAGTTTTCCCTTACCCGAAACATTAAATACGCACACATTGCCGTGAAATATTTTCCGTGAAACTCAAATACTAATAAAAAAGTTGTAATTTTTTTCTGTACACCCTGTATAAATTTAATCCAAATATTCAAAATACTGTAGAATTGAAAAAATTCCATTTATTATACATATAAAAATCTAAGAATCTAGAAACCATCTATGCATTTTTAGTTTAAACTATCTACAAATTTAAAATAAACATACATTAACATTCCATAAGATACAATTTTATTTAAGTCAAATTATACCGACCAAAAATATATTCATTCATTGGACAAAATTAGGTAATATGTGTCTGCAGAACTCCTCTATTTGGAATTCCTCTGAGGTTAAAAATAGCAGTTCGTCGACCCGGCACTTCGACGCCCCAAGACGCGTCCTCAAAAATGTCTTTAAAGCGAATAATTTCATGTAGAATATGATCAAATATGTCGAGTCTGGAATTCGTTTTATTTTTACGATTTGGCTTGAAACATTGTTTGTAATGCCAGTGATGTTTATGTTAATTAATAGTTGAATAGAACTATTAAATGGAAATAGACTTAAGTAATACTAACAACGTAACTTTTATTGTTGCAGATCGATGAAGTAGAAGGACGCTCCCTAGCTGCGAAACACAACCTCCAATTCTACGAAGTCTCCGTGGCCGAAAACACCACGCAAATTTACACGGCGTTCGATTTGATATTGAACATGTGCAGGACCAACCACGCCGCGCAGAAAACCAGAAAATTCTCCGTTTCGAAAATGATCGGAACGCTCATCGGCAACACCAACAGCAAAGTTATACAGAACTCTAATCAGGGCGGCACGGTGGTCGTGTGCCACAAAAGCGATCTCTACAAATCCAGAGTCCTCAGAAGAAGGCAGAACTTCACGGCCACTGCGTCCCTGTGACTATCGGGGAAGGAAGAGCAGGATGCTCGTTAATTTTGATGATTCTTGGAAATTTTGACGACCGTCAAAAGAATGTTTCTCAGTTCTATGAGAAGTTGGAGATATTATGAGAGTTTATTCGATCTCTATTTATGCGCAAAATATCTTATAAGATACGAGATACATCACTTGATTTGTTTTAGAATCCCTTTAATATTTTGCAATAAGCAGCATGATTGTTGTATTAGCCTATAGATAGTAATTTTTATACCCTTTTCAATACATGTATAATTAATTAATGTTATATATACAGGGTGTCAAATAAACACAATGAAATGTGATTTGTTGTAATATTGAAAATGAAAGTGAGATTAGTAGAATTGTGTTTATTAACACCCACTTATCCCTTTTGAATTAAAAAATTAAATAATAATCGATGTTTATGTAAAATTAATTAGACCAAATATTTCAAAATATTGTGTGTGCTACAAAGGCTGTGATACAAGTAAATTACTCGCGCGAGTCGAGCCATATTGGTTCGGCTTTGCGATTCAAATATTTAAAATAAATTTATATTACATATAAGTTTTGGTTGTTTTATTTTTAAACCTTTTATGAACGGGCCCCAAATCATCGGTTCGAGCCAAAAAATTTCGGAGCGTGTCGTTAAAAAGTCGTTTGGCTTGTGTTGGAAGACGTAAATGATTAATATTACAGGATGTACCGTTTTTAGAAATGTTAAAGAATAGGTAAAATTCCTGAACAGGTCCGAACAATTTTTACTAAAGAACACACAGTGGTCCTGAACGAGTCATAGGTCACAGAAAAATGACGCCAAAAACTGACGTTTTGGAATAAGGATGTCATCTGATGTTTAAAAATATGTTTCTCAAAATTGTAGCTGTTCCTTTTTTGAAGTTTTGCTTAATAATCCAAATATCAAACTTCATTTGGTGATTCATTTTAGGTTTTTGCTATTATCTTTAAAACGAAGGTATTTGGAAAAAAAGTTTGAATAAGGAAATATCATCATGTCTCCATAATTATGCCTAAACTATTGGCCTACGAAATCCATAGACGTAGTCGTGAATTTTTTATGTTTAACTAGGTATGTTTTATTTTTTGTAAATAACCTGCCATAGGTTAGGCAAGTAGGTACCTACCTAAAAATAGCTAAGTAGGTATGCAAAACAAAAAACAATTATATACAAAGTAATCAATAATAATTATCCTTGTGAGTAGCAAAATGGGTTTTTTTAAGGTCTACAAGGGCTCCATAAAACTACTCCTAAGGGTAATTTACATTGCTTAGTTAAAACCTATTTTCTTTAACAGCAGCTATACACCCAGAAAACAATATGACGTCTTAGTTAAGTCTGCATAAGCTCTATTTTATGATTTGGACGTCAAATACAACATCAGAAAGAAGTTTTTAAGAAGTTTTTAAGAAGTTCTTAAGACTTCGAATGCGCCACCTATTAAACTAATCAAGACTTCTCAAAAAAGAACTCTTGAGGAACCCTTTTCTTTGACTTCGCAATTAAGCATTTTAAAGAGTCCTCTGTATAATTTTATAAAAAGACTTCTTTAGAATTTTCCGTTTTGGATATAGAAGTACTACTAGGGTACTGGTGAAGAAATTGCATACTGGATCGTTGCTTATTTTGACATGTCAAGTTTATTTTATTAATTTTATTAATTTGCACTAAAGCACACCTTACAGCAGCCATAAAACCTACCTTACAGCTGTCATAAAACCTGCTAAGTGCAATAGGTTTAAGGAGGTAGTGTGCTTTTGTCGTAAATACATTTTAACTGACAATTTGTACTTTGTACTTTGTAAATTCCATATTGCTTTAATCAAATACTTGTTTGGTATATTGTTGCCTTAAGGAACACTAAGCCATTATTGATTTTAAAAACTTAATAAGAAAAAAATTAATTTTGTTAACCAATCAAAAATCATAAACAAATACCACTTTACTGATAAAAGTTGATTGCCGAGACACAAAACGTATGATGCCCACTGAAATGCGCTTAATTTAAACAATTTTAAATTCTTTGGCTAAATTATTTACCCGATCTAAATTAAGTTTTTTACTCCATCTCTTATCGAAAAAATATTCCCTAGCATTTGAAATTTTCTGAAAAATATTATCTAAGTATTCGTATTTTATATTAAAATTATTTTATAATGGCAGAGCAATATTTTCTAATTTAAATTGCGGTTTCAGTTATAAAACAATGTATAACAAGAGTATACTCTTGCAAACAACTGCTAAAAAGTTTAATTGCTTTAAAAGTGTTTACAACTATTTGTTAAAACTAATAAGCCCTATGATTTCTTTTGTTAAGGCAATCATAAAACCAATTGGAATTTTGTGCGAGCATTTTTTTTCTTTTCTCTATGATGTTTACTACAGAACAGATGTTTACTGAAAACAACAATCTGGAAAGTTGAACAAAAAATTGCAAAAAATTTAGGCAAATTTTTTAATTATAATTTTTATTTACGGAGTAAAATCAATACAAATAAAGAGGTTTTATGTATTATACCGTATAATATATTATATAAAATCAATAGATATATAGGAATTATAATAATAGCAACAAAATGGTTTAAACTCTTGCAAATTTGCAAATTGGAAAGCAAATTGGTTATATTGGACATATTGCTGCTCTACTAGAAACAATCATAAAACCTTTTTACTGTTTGATTCTGTAACATTCTTACATAGATAAAAAGTAGTCCTAAGACCAAATGCTCTTGTGAGTCGGCTTTAAAAGATGCATTCAACTTTCTGAGCACCATTAAAACCAATAGGCATCTGATAAACCTTCATAAAACTTATTGGACTATAGGCGTAAAATAACATTTAATTTGTAACATTTCTAATTAAGACTTCCCAACTTTGCAAGAAAACCTTAAAAAAGTAACATTATTTGCAATTTTAACATTTGAAATGAAATGAGCCGGACATACCTAAGGCTTTGTTGGAACATTGCCACAAGGTTTTTGTAACATTCCCAGTAGGAAGATACCCATATGCTTAGCCTCAAAAAACGGACACCCTGTATATTTATGTATACTATACTAAATAATTATTAATAAGGCACCTATCACTTAGTGATTTAGTTTACTCAACTTATTCATAAATTAAAATCAAAATAAAATATTAGCTTATAAAAACAAACCATTTAAAAAATTGTGGATGCATTAATATCAAAATTCAAACATTTCGATTTTGTAATTCTTGTTTAGTCTTCAAATATCATAGACAATCCTGAATCGAGTAAACTAGGTCGTTTATCTAATATCGACTTAAAAGATGTATTCCATACGGCCTGTACAATTTTAGAAATTTTGCAACTTGTGTGCATTGAGTCAACGCAGAAAACAAAAATGCGGAAAATCTCTAATATTTTTCCTTAATATTGCGAAACAAAAAGGAATTTCCGCATTAAAAATATCTATCTAAAAATAGATCTGCCCCGGAGTTTTGTTAAGATTTTTAACCTTTCGAAATGGAAATGGAAAATTACAAAAACACCCGCTTAAAATTACCTGAACATAAATACGTTTTTATCTTGAAATATGGGGTTCAAAAATAAGGTCAATATTCCAACAAATCGTTCATGAATTGTATTAAATTTTAACAATTATTACTTCGTTCGAAAATAACCTATAAATTCTGATCTTTACTGTCGACCCAAATCTCTTCATTCGATAAAATCATCATCTTATGGCGTCCAATGATTTTCATGACTTTAAGTGATATTCTAAATTAAAAAAATGTAAATAAACCTTGAGCCAAAATAGTACAGTCATCTTAGTCAAAAAAGGGGATCAACCTCGGAATCTAACGGAATAAGCTGAATTTTTGTGACAACCTTTATTTTAGCATTACAAATGTTGTCTCAAAAGTCACATATGCCAACGTGTGAGCGGCCTTAGATATTCAAGGTCAAAGGTCGCAAAAATCAGTTTTTTGAGAATATCTCGTTTTCTCTGCCTCCTATCGTATTTGCATTTATTATAAAAGTTGTAGAGAATAAAATTCTCTACAAATTTTGTTTACAAAATTTTTTTATACCTCGAACCGTTTTTGAGATAGAGGGCGCAGAGTGTGGAGCGCTCAGCCATACGTACCTTTAGCGCAAGGTAAATCGTGAACCCTCTATTATACCGTTTTTTTAATTAATTATATAATAAATATTACTAAAAAAAATTTAATACTTTCTACTTATATTTCTTTTAAATCAAATATATTTTATGTTCATATATATCTTATATTTTAATTTAATTTTAATGAAGGATAATTGGATCGGATCAGGAAAAAATGTTTTTATTTATGTCAATATTATTATTATTATTATTAATAATCTTTATCTTCTTCATCCTCGTCTTCTTCAGGTTGGCCAGCAATTTCAGACTCATTCTCATCAACACTCTCCCCGTTATCATTGACATTAATTGTCATATCTTCAAAAACTTACTTATAACGCGTTTGTACTTTGCAGATTTTTTTGCCTTTGTTGCCTCATCTGCGACTTCACCACAAAATAAGCACAATATTTTAAAATCAAACACTTCATTCCCTTTTTTACGAGGTACAGTTGATGACGTTGAAGGTCCAGTCTCTTCAAGGCGACGTTTTGCTGCTGCAATTTTACTATAGTACGCTTTAGCGTACAATTTTCGACACTCAATATGAACGTTTACAGAAGTCAAAGTATTTAGATAGTTTATGTTTATTTCTCTCAATAATTGCTTCTTTTAAAGTCTTTATACCGCGCACAAAAGTCACAGAATCACCTTCAGAAAGTAACTTATTACAAATAAAACACAAATCAGCCATGTTAACCTTTAAAATATTACGAATATTACCTGTCACAACCCTAGACCTATACCAACTTGTATCACGTGTACAACTTGCTTTAGGTATGTATAGGTATACCTAACCTTTTTATTTATAGCAAGCCCACTATAGTATTTCCGGGTCTGTTATTTTAAAAGCAATATCTGGATCCAAGAGATGACCAGAGACATATTCAAGGCAAATTCATTTAATGTATTTTCTTTTAAAAATGCATTTACCATTAATTAGAATAACATTAGAATATATTTAGAATGATTCACTTCATTATTTAATTATTTGTATGTAAAAAGTAAGTTATATTTAATGACTATTTGTTTTAAAAAAATATATAAAAATAAATATAAGGTATTAAATTGTTATTTAAGTAATATTTAATAAATAATTAATTAAAAAAACAGTATAATAGATTGGGATTCATGATTTACCTTGCGCTAAAGGTACGTATGGCTGAGCGCTCCACACTCTGCGCCCTCTATCTTAAAAACGATTAGACGTATAAAAAAATGTTTTAAACAAAACTTGTAGAGAATTTTATTCTCTACAACTTGTATAATAAATGCAAATACGATAGGAGGCAGAGAAAAGGAGATATTTAAAAAAAATTGATTTTTGCGACCTTTGACCTTGAATATCTAAGGCCGCTCACACGTTGGCATATGTGACTTTTGAGACAACATTTGCAATGCTAAAATAAAGGTTTGTACAAAAATTCAGCTTATTCCGTTAGATTCCGAGGTGAAATCCCTAGATGACTGGACTAAAAGATTTAAATTAATAATATACTGTTCAAGGTCATAACTACCCCTTATTTTTTAGTTTTAATTTCTAATTTCAACGAATAGTCAAAAATTACTTACCGTCTGATCCAACTTAAGTTGTGTTTAAACCGAAAACCACAGATTAAAACCAATTAAATTAAACATAACTGTCTATTTTCCAAAAATATATTCGCGTATTTACATCCCAAGTCCTTATTCTTTTATAATACCGTAATACCGTAAAAAATCTGCACAAAACACAACTTTTTCTTCAATTTAAACGTGTTTTTTAAACCACAAAAGTAGATTGTAGAACTGTCAAAACAATTTGGCGTTTGTTTTTTTGGAAATCACACACGCGCATTGGGTAGGTATTCTGAAAATGGTAACGCGATTAAAATCTTTAACGGTTTCTTTGACATGTCACAGCGCATGCCCGGACGAACGTCTTTTGTCATTTTGGCAGCCATTACACTGTTCTTACTGAATAAAATTTATTTACAAGTTTAAAGTGACAAATATTCGTTTGATTGTTAATTATGTTCTGTGTTGTTAATTAAACAGGGTTGTACATACGTGATTGTTGATAGTTTCTACATCAACTTGAATTTGGGTAAGTGCATTTTAACGGCATTCATGTTATACAGGCAGTTTAATATTTTTAACCAAAGAAAAGATAATCTTTAGTTTAAAAATCATAGTAAAACTAAAGAAACACTGTTATTTATTTATTCATTGAAAAACTGTTGAAATATAATATGTACAAAATAGACATTAATAAATATTGACAGAATTATGTTTTCACTCTATAACTAGGTATCTACTTATGTGTAAAAATAATGGATATGTTTTTGTTATAAAAACAAGAATAAGTAATAATTAGTAGTATACAGCCTTTTATGACTAAAATAATTTTAGACCTATGTTAAACTAACAACTAAAACATTTCTAACAAATCCTTTTAATAAAGAGCAGTCAACATTTAACAATACATAATTTTTTTAAAACAACATCGACTAATTGTAGTAAGTTAACCAATAAAAATTACCATAGACAGTAAATGCCATTTAATAAAAGAATATAAATACAGTTTTTTATGTTTATAAGACTATGATTTAACTTTGCTAGCAATTGCCATTCCAAAGCCAACGATTGCTCCCACTGCTAACACCACTCCTCCCGCCATTGCCATTCCAACTAAACCCTCTTTTTCCATTTTTTTCTTGATGGTTTGGTGCAAATTTATCACTTGCTGATTACCTAAAAACCCTCATTAAAATGATTTTGACTGTCCACATTACAAAGGTTATTTACCTGGTTCTATAGATAGAAAAGACCTGACATAACTTAGAGCCTTTGAATACTCTTTTAGCCTTGCATTGCCAATGGCTAAGTAATACAAATAGTCCCGCTGTCCTTCTTCATGTGTCCTATACAATTCCTCCAACAAAATTATTCCTTTTTTTATATCAGCCGAATATTTACTTCGTACCAAACACCAACCGTATTCAAACTGTGCTTTAGGCGTAACATCGTTTCTGTACAATTGTTCGTGATAAATCTTCTCGAATCTCTGCAAATTTTACAATCAATAGTGAGTCATCAATGTTTTTACACATTTCATAATACGTCACAATAATTAAATCGCAGTAAAACATTTTTTCGGGTGATTTTCCTACCTTAAGGTCTTCCGGTTGCACGGTTTCCGTTAAAACATCCGCCATTATATTTTAAATACAAATTTACACAAGATTTTCCTTGACAAACAATTCTAAATGTCAAAGCTTTGCGATGACTTGATACTGCTTTTGACAGGACATCTATCGGACCTTCGAGGAACTAAGAAATAGTTTGAATGACTTATATATTTTGGAACTATTGCTTTTAATTAAAAAAACTGTTTATACAAACTATATAACTATCTATATTATAGTACAACGTAAACAATCATTTTTAATAAATTTAAATGTCGAAATATGTTAAAGGTATTATACCTATAATAGTCAATTTAACAATAAAATAATATTAAACTAATATTGCCATCTATTCAAGATAATGTTAACTAGAAAATTAAAGAAATCTGTAATATATAATTTTTAATTTCTTTTTCTCCTTATTTCTGCTTTTCAAATGTAGATGACAGAACTATATTTAATTTGCACATACATACAGGAACGCCTAAATGCAGGAATGGGCTCCATCTGAATATAAATTTTGCGTAAAATAAAACCAAATCAAACCAATCGGTAACAAAGTTCGAGATAGAGGGCAATGCTCGATGGAATAATCGTTTTCAATAGGGTGGTTAGGCTTCAATAGGGCGGTTACGGGGGGTTGGGTTGGTTGGGTTTGGTTTGATTTGGTTTGTTTTATTTTACGCAAAAATTATATTAAGATGGAGCCCATTCCTGCATTTAGGCGTTCCTTTCCACACCGAGTACATACAAATATGATTACTACTAGCGCTACATTTTAATGACAGTTTACTAGGGAATGAAAGGAATCTGTAATAATATATTATTTTTAGTTACTTTTTCACTTTATTTCTGCTATTGAAACATAGATGGAAGAACCACATTTAAATTAAACAAATATTTGTTAAAATTTTAAATTTGCAAATAAAATCTAGGTGAAACTACTTACAAATGAGATTAAAACTGTTAAATGTATGTAAGTAGACCTTATTTAAGATGTCTCATGAACTAATTTGATAAAAAAACGTATAAATATTTATGCTATACTTACTTAAGTTTTTTTTTACTAATTATTGGGTATTTAAATATAAAATGTGTATTAAATACAAAAACAAATGGGTTTTAAGATCCGAAATAGTTTATTGTAAATAAGTATTATAGATAAGATAAAGTCAATATGTACAAAACACTATTTTATTTACAATATAAAATGCACTTATAATTTTTACACACATAATACAAAAAGAACATTCTCTCATATTCTATAATAATAATTTATTAAGTATGACTAGTTTTATGAAAAGTGTTTTTCTGTATTACAAAAAATTTTAAACAAAAAAATAAATACAGATTTCCTGTCGAAATAAAATATTGAATCCAATAACAACAATCATTCAAACAAACTAAAAATTCCAATTTTTAATGCAATATTTCCACAAAATAAATACTTTCTACATTTTTTTAAAATTAAAATATATACAAATATGTATAGAAATATTGCATGTATGTACAAGGGGATTTAAGCGATTTCAAGCTCGTTGAAATCACAAAATCGCAAACCGTATCGTAGTGTTATCTATATAACTTCAAATGTAGGCCCGAGTTTAACAAAATTAGATCCACGATAAATTCAAAATTAAAATAAATTTCTTGTGGTCATTAAAGCTGCGATCTAGTTCAATTAAAACATGGCACCTATACATGAACTCATAAAATATCACAATTTGTTTTATATATACTCTATTTACAACATCACTCTTTTAATGACAGAATTTATATCAGAATACGAGGCAACAGATATAAAATATAAATCACTCGAAATCTTGATTTATACAATACCCTAAATACGATTTATATGTTTAATACATTCATTTGCCAGGGACGTGAGCCAAAATCGAGCCGCAAGAAATCTGAATATATGCATATATCACAATAATTCACTAAGAAATAGAAGCTACTAAGTGTCGAGTCCTTAAAAATGTTTCAGTCAATTAAGGACAATAATACAATCACACAATGTTAAGGTAAATTTTGGTCAACCGGTACAATAATAGTTTAATCTAAACACAAGTTTTCTTTTTTCCCTCAATATATCTCATAGTTTTGTCAGGAGGACATTGTCCACTGCATATCTTCGTTTAAATAGTTGAAGATTCTAACAAAAGTATATGAGATATAAATTCTATTCATTTAACAGACGGAGTAAATAAAAAATACAATCACGCACTTTGCACGTGATTGTCTATTAAATAAATAGACTTTAGTAAAACAAAAACTTAATATTTCTATAGCAGATTTCTTGTGCCCGATATAGCATGCCTTGTTATAGTTATTTCTGTTAACGACAGCGAGAAAAATATACTTAACATCTACTGTACAGTCTCTATATTTCGTAAAATCACATCGTGGAATGGATTCAATGGTTATTGCTAGCACTCGTTCACCACATATAGTCTGTTTCATATTTTAGTGGTGATGGTCACGGTGACATCTGGGCAATCCGTTCCTTGTGTCGTTCAGGGCCCGCATGGAATGCGCGCGACATGTATCGCCAGTTATGTAAGTGAACCCGGTGGCGGGTAAGGTGCCCCCTTGACCCCTGGGGCCCCTAGCACGCCTGCCCTCCCCATCTAGACAAAATACCCCAGAGGGCGGCGCGCTAAGTTCTAGCTACAATTCCGTCACCGGTATCGGCTTGATGTTGTGCTGGCGCATAATGTAATCATCATCGGAAAAGGTCTTTTGATATTCGTGTTCCTTCCTACTAATCGCCCTTTTATTCCACTTGTAGTCTTTTAAAGCTTCGCGTACACGTTGACGGTATCTGAACAAGAACAAACCCAAACCGCCCAGCAGAACAATAGCACTAACACATAGCGTAACTAGGATGGCTTGCTGTCTAGGGTCGGTGAAAGAACAGCCTAGATCGTCAGCAGTAAGTGTCCTTAAAGGTCTATCTTTAAGATGTAACGGTGTGGCACATTGAACTGTGATATTCTTCATCTTAACCGACATCAAATTGCTAAGGAACAGCAACTGACAGTCGCAATGTATCAAGTTGTCTGTGAGCTCAAACGAATGCAACTCGCTGTAGGAAACCATCGCTTCCGAAAGGGATTTCAAGGAATTCTCTTTCAGTATCAAATGCTTCAAGTTCGGCAAGCCAACCAAAGCACCATCCTCAATGGTATCCAACTTCTTATTGCTCACAAAATTAATTGTTTCGATGTTTAAATTGGACGAAAAAGCACCTTTCTCGATGGTCTGCAACTCCGTCGCACTAGTGACGTCCAACTTCCTCAAATTCGTCAAACCTTTGAACGAGTTCTTCTCGATGATCGTGAACTCGTTCTGACCGATCACCAGCTCTTCCAACCTCGACAAGTGGGACAACTGCGCTGTCGGCACGTGGTTCAGCTTATTGTCGGCCAAATTTAGGCTGCGCAGCCCGTTCAAGCCTCTGAAAGCGTCGATGCTGACGTTGGAGAGACCGGCACTGCTCAAGTCGAGGACCGATAATTTTTCCAAACCTTTGAAGGCGTCATCGGGGAGAACTGTGAAGCCGTTCAGGCCCACGTGGAGCTCTGCTAGACTCGGGAGTACAGAGAACGAGGCTGTTGGTACCGTGGTGAGCAGGTTGTCGTCCAGGTATAACACTCTTAAAGCCAGTAAACCTTCGAAGGCCAGAGCATCGATTTTGGATATTCTGTTTTGGCCCAGGTTTAACTCTTCCAATTTGGGGAGGATTGAGAATATACCTCTGGGTAATTCGTCTATGAAATTCTCCCGTAAGTTCAAAACAGTCAAGGATTTCAGTCCTTGGAAGGTGGTGTTGCTTATGGATGATACGCGGTTTTTGTTTAGGTGCAACTCTTGCAACTTCCCTTGGTTCGTGAAGCTTGTCTTGGGGATGTTTCCAAGGTGGTTGTAGGAGAGATCCACGTAGAGCAAATCTCTGTAGAACTGGAAGGCGGCATCCACAGTTCTGATCTTGTTGTTCTTCAGCACCAAACGTTGTATGGCGGGGTTCAAAGTGATGGGGATGACGTCTAATTTTCCTCGCTCGCAGGTGACTACATAGGTATCGTCATCGCAGGTGCATCCACCGGGACAGGGCAGGCCGTTGACCGCGTTCGCTATCGACAGGAATATCGTCAACAGCAGCAGGGATGTCCAGTTCTGCAACAATAAAAAGAGACGTTTATCAATAAAGCCAACAACAACGAAAATCCGATCAATTAGGATGGGCGTGTGTGTGTGCAAATTCGGTTTGTCAGTGGTGGATTAATTGATTTTTATCTAGACGCATATCGGGTTTAATTAATTATATTATACGTACAACGGTTACATCGAATCCATTAGGCGATAACGTTTTGTTAAATTGAACTTTATTTTTAATTTACAGCTGATTCGCTGGTTCGTACCGTTGGGCGAGTTTAATCAAAATAAATTTTTATTAATGCGTTTTAGCAATAACAAACATCATAAATTTATAGTTTATTTTGCATAATGTATTCATCGAATTTAAATAATAGTTTATTACGTATGGCATCCTTGAAAACGATAAGCAAAAACATAAACAATGCCCGGCAAACATACTACAATATTTAATGCTAACTGCTTCACTAGTTTAAACGGTTATTATAATGGCCATAATATTCGAGGTAGAATAATTCCGGAGTAATAATTAGTGCTCATTTTAAACCAACAGTGTTGAACTCCCCAATTAAAGCACCTTTCTGTGTCCACAATTCGGGTACAGAGATATCGCGGCAAAGTAATATTTATCTAGCGTGCTTTTGGCCAGTAGAAATAAAAATTGCCGCATTCAATCTTTTCGCGTGTTCTTCTTTGATGAAAATCAATTTTTATTTCGCGGAGATACTTGCTGCTGATGGGACTCGAATAAAGCGAGCGCTGGCTGTTAGACAGTAATTTTCGAAGCAATTAAGTAGATAATAGTGCAATATAAAGTTAAGACTGAAAGCAATTTAATTCGAAACAATTCCGCAGCGTTTAATGTAAATATATTTTGAATTGTTCTCTCGGTGCACTGGGCAGATACTGTACAGTAGCTGCGTTATAAACAATATAAAAATTCCTCGCGCATTTCAGGATAAACGTAGGACATTTGTCATGAGGCGGCACTCTAGTGGAGATCCAAAACTATAATGCTTATCTTTTCTCCACTGTTATTGTTCTCTTTGGTATGTATTTATACAAGGATTGGGTTTTAGTCGCCGGCAAGCACTCGCTAAGAGATATATGAACTGTTTTTGCCAGTTCTGTGAAAAAGAGAGCCGCAATTTATTTCCTGTTTCATTTTTTATTGCACGCCAGCTATTTTCCGCGGGCTGAATACGTTATGACTTTCTTTTTCCTCCCCGTCCCCCAACTGTGTGTTACAAATACTGATTAGAAGAAGAGAGATTTCGAGAATATGTAACTGATAAACGGGCTTTGTGTATTACACAATGTCGACAGTATCTTAGCCCGTACGCTTTGTTACAATATTTATGACCGCCACTTCATGTGGAACTAATTCGCTATCATATTCCCGCTGCTATTTTTTCCAAATTCCAACTCCACTCTGTTGCATGTTCCTGCTATGAACACCTGACGCGACCACCTACTATTAATAATCGTTTTTTATTTTAAATTGTTCCATTAATCATCGCACACAACTTCCTGCCAGCGGCAACACAAACAACATCTCACAATTAAATTCTTCTCTTTTCCAAACCGAAAGCGATTTTAATTCGAATTTAGGAATTCGGCGTTCACGAAGTTGGCAGCAGGACCTTGCAGCAGTAGCGGCGGCAATCTGGCTAATGTTTCCCGCAGGACCGGTAAGCAGCTTACCCTCCTGCCGCCGTGATGATTGGGACGGGGACCTCACGCATTTACTGCCATTTCAATGAGTCCCTCGTCACGAAACTTTCCCTTATCCGCGAGCTCAGTTACATTTTTATTTCAAACACGATTCTTTACTTTTTCATTTGCCAACCAAGCCCACACACTTTTTAATTGTTATTATAACTTGTCCGACCCATACTTTCATCTCTTGTCTATAGAGCAGTAGATTGTCCCTTAACTTACTGTTCATAGCTTCAGACTTTCCAATGAATTCGCTTTAAGTTTGGAAGTCCTAGTACTCCATCCCTTACAGTATCAATGTTCTTCCATGTAACAAAGTTAATTGTTTAAATTGAAGTTGAGGGGGCCTTTTTCTGGTCACGTCCGGTTTCCTCAAGTTTCAGATCTTTGAACGAGTTTTTCAGTTCTAACAAAACCGTTCCATATTAGCTTTAAAAGAAAGTTATACAGTTCATGCCATGACATGAATTTTATCATTTTTGGGAAAAGGCAATATAGAAATAAGCAAAACAGACTGCATAAAGAAAGAGTTTATGTATTCTATCAAGAAGCAACTCAACAGTAATTTTTCTAAGCAAGAAACAATTGTCTTGAGTCGATATTTTCATAAAAAATCATCACCTTTAGTATTTAAATGCTATTTAGTTTGACTAATTTTAATGGCGAGTCTACTGGTTGCAAACTGGTTTGTTTCTTTCCGCCGCGAGGTCAGACTGCAACCACATACATCAATTATTTCATACCCACGTGTTAAAATACTAGCAACGTGTGCAAATTTTGCTCGATTTGTTTGTCGACGTTTCGGCACAAGAAATCGCACTCAAATATTTAGTCTACAAGTGATTTATTATTCCGATGTGTCTTCGCCACCATTTCGCTTCTCTCAATTTAAAACCCGTTTATTGATTATTTATGTAAACAATGGAAAAACGCATGTTGACAAGGTCATTACACCATAAACAAGATTTTTATATCTATACCGAGAATCCCAGATATAATTGGGAAGTTCCACGAAACACTTTTAGGGGATCTGTGTTTTTTTGTAATTGTAATTTGTAATGATTGGCAAATAGTGCAAATGCTTTTTTTCCACTTTAATGTACCTTCTCAGTGCCAGTTATTAAAAATATTTGAGTACAGCTACAGTTCTGCAAATACAAAGGTGGCCACATCCGTTAGACGGTAGATGGAGCTGATTACTTTGCGTTCACCGCTGTCGCTGCATTCGATTGCTTTATAGGGTTTTAAAAATGACAAAAAGTTAAATTAAATGTGCTATGGCAAGACCTAGTCTAGTGGGAAAGAAAGACGCCATTTTTAATGTTTACCGTTTTTGCCAATTTAAAAATAAAAATGAACGTTAAACATGTTAACTTCTTGTATGCCAACAAGCTTTCACAAAAGGAATGTAAAAAAGATGTCCTTATTGAATTTTCTGGTGTATGTAAACAACGTGAGGTCTCTTCGGTCCGAAGGGTTCTATAAAAACGAATGCAAATTGGCCCAAGAGTTTCGCGAGAGTAAAGTAAAATACACCGCCATGGGAAATCTGGCTGCGACGCCTCGGGTGTCCACAGGGCTTGAATACGTTAGAAGAAGGCAAACATCATGACCCAGGAAACTTTTGATTTTACTACCACGTCGAGTTGTGCAAGACAAATTGTCTGCAGCAATATGATTTAGATACGAAATCTTCACTTTGCCGGCAAACAAAAAGTTTCTGAATGGATGATTGTGGACTTTGCACTGAGTCTAGACGTTCTACATGGTTTGTCTCTGGACACCAATTGCTAAATTGTCTTATACGATGCCCCAACGAAATTATTATCCATTTTCCCATATATGTTTATTCATTTAGAGGGAATTGTTGCTCTGAATAGTCTATCAACGAAGAATTTAACGAATGCTTAGTTGGGTTTTTCGTTTATAATGCAATTTCCCCCTTTTGTTTCGAAGTATAAAAAAGCCACAATGTGTTTTCTACCTAGGGGGCGCAGAATTAAGCGCTGGGGAGTTAATTTCATTAAAACGTTTGATTAATCCAATATTTAAAATTAAATAGTCTACAGCAAGATATAAACTTGTTTATATTGAACGTTTATATTTGTATTAAAAAGGAATTTTATGTTATTGATGTAAATATAGATTTAACAAAACCCACAAATTCTTGTCGGGTTGAAATAAACAGAACTGTCGGTTATCCTATTGATATTTTAATGTTTAAACGTGTATTTTCGAACACTATACGCTTAGTAAACAATAAACTTCATCACCTACACACTCTTTCCGTCGTTGTTGGAAAGTTTACACAAAATCCCATTGTACATGGAAAATAAATCACGATTGCCACATTATACCGAAACTTAAAAGTGTAAAACGGCACGTTTGGACCTTAAGCGTTTTATTTCGATGAATTATGCGATTATTGAATGGCAATAATGGTGTAAAGGCGCGCCGACGCATTTTTTCCGGTAATTTTAGGTTATAAGAAACTCGAAGTATCTCGCGCATCTTTGCATCGGTAATTGGAGGCAAATAATCAAGATGAAGTTCGAACCGGTAAAATAAATAACTCGCTTCATTAGCTACACAGAGTCGACTACACATAAATCTCACATAAAGCGCAATCTTCTTAACCTTGAATTAAATCTAGGATGCCGAGCAGAGCGAGCATTGCAACCAAATAATTTTATTTTTTCAAACCACAAAAACAAAAACAAACGTAAATAATGCATTCTAAGCGACGAAATATATTATATATAAAGCATGCGGCCGAATTTGAATATAAATTTCTTTTGTGTTGGGATTGTTTAAAAAGAATTTACTGTGACAATAGAATAACTCCGGATCGTGGCATAATAATAAACCGTTTCATATTTGTTTTCGAAATAAAAGCCATTTTAAAGTTTAATGCGCTACGGGGTTCCGGGAAAATTACATACATATATGATATTAATGTTATTGGTTTATAGAAAACCGGTTTTAAATTACTTATTCCACGATCCAAAACAAAGAAAATTATACCGTTCATGTCGAATTTTCGTATAACATCAATTTTTAATGATTTTGGAAAAAGCTAACATCGAAACAAGCAAAACAGAAAGCATAGAGGCTTTGTGTAGTCTATCAAGAATAATTTTGCTTTATAACAAGATTAATCAACAAAATAATTAATTTTATTGAATGCAAAAGGGCCCCAAGTCCTCTTTTCAACTACTAAATAATGATCCTGGGTTTTATTTATATTTCCTCATATCTGAATGCAAAAAAATCACAAGTTTATGTTACAAATTCTTGTTCCA